TATTACTAATCTTATTATTTACTAAAATACATGCTGTCTCTTTACAAAAAAGTTTGTTGACCCTCTCCTTTAAAGCAAAAACAGTATAAGTACGATAAAAGGCAATGTGTTTGTTGATCTGCCTTTCAACTTTTCTTCCCACTAACGACCAAGTCTTTATTACACTGATTTAAGAAAATATGAGTGCTGTCATTTCTTGTTTACTGTTTCATAGGTTCTTTCCCCCAAGAGATTTTCTAAGTCTCATCCTAGAAATGCATATCTTGGCTAGGTTTCTAAAGTATGCTTTGTAACTTTAATTCCAGGAACTATAATTACACATTTAAGATGCTATATAGATATTTTACAGACATGAGGTTTTTCAACGCACAAATCAATAATTACTTCAATAAACTCCAAATAGCATTGGATTTTCATGCTGTATTTAGAAGGTGAGAAGTGTCTGAGTAACTCTGAGACCTGGATTATCAATTCCAAATTCATACTATAACAATATTTCTAAACGCTTTAATTTATATATATATTTTTTAAATGCCATTTCTGCAAAGCCTTGAGGGTTTAAGTTTTAGGATCTCAAATTCCTTTTATTCATTTGGGCTTCATGATGAACTGGAACGAAGAAAGAAGGAGACATGAAATATAAACATCTCTTAGCTTCTTCTTTAGATACTATTGCCAATCATTTGTTGGTTACAGCAAGGCATCCCTACCTTTATCCTCATAGCTGCTTCCCCTGTACCTTGACCCTAAGAATTTGTAAGAGAAACACAAGGCTCACAAAGAGATAAATTCTAAGATCAGCTTAAAATCCTTCAGTGCATAGATATGCAACATCACCTGTAGAGGACAGAGTTCCTTGCTGGAAATTGCTGAATATATTAATATAACTAAAAAGGGATGTGCTTCATTACAAAGGGAAGTTGGTCAATTCTAGAAGCATAAAATAATAAAAGTCACTAAAAAGTATTCAGTAAAGTCATTTAAGTCCATTCCAGTGGATTGGGGAATTATCAATATCATCATTCTAGCAGCTAACATCTTCCACATGTATTCTATTTTCCAGACACTGCACTCCTAGCCATCAAAAGATACTGGTTCCCTTTGCAAAGTTTCCCTCATCATGAAATGGATAGATCAGGTCTTTGATTTTTCCTCTCATCAACTGTCCCAGTATATACTGATTCCATGCTTAGCAAGGAAACTTTGGGTTATGATCTGATCTTGTATGTAGGCCTGTCTCAATAAATAAATAAATACGGGTGAATCATGGAATTCAAGTTTTTCACTTCATAGGATAGGGAGGTCTCGTGGGAAATACAGGAAATGACTTTGATGGTGATGTTAATTTCCCTCTATGAATGTTTAAAGGGAATGGATGTGCCAGTTATTTTGGTCACTGGGGCTAAAAATTCTTATTTTTAATTAACAAATTGGCCCTCTGGTGTCTACTTTAGGTATGCATGCACTTTCATTATTCACTCCTGGACACTGATTAGAGTGAGTGTTTGGGCTTCACAGTACACAGAAAGGTTCAGCAATTCTTGGTACTACCACATCTATCTACTAATGGGGCTTTTCAGAAAGGGATCCGAAATGTTCTGCTTAAGAAAACTCAAAATTATTACAGATTTTAAAATATCCACAAAACAATTGGGCATCTGTCTGTTGTGCTTACTGAACTAGGAATTTTATATTTGATTCTACCAAAAACAACATGAGATAGAAGTGTGATCCTAAGAGTTAAATGTCTTGCTCAGCGGTCACACAGCAATGATAACATTCAAACACATCTCTCGGAATCCATAATCTGAGCTCTTACTATACTATGCTCTTCTAATAGAATGTGCAAAACCTTGGGATCTCTCTTCCTCATCCTACTGTCTTTGGGTCATTAACCACATTTATATAGAATACTTACCATTCATGGAATGTTCACAATTTCCACACATTTTCCTAGATGCTTTATATCATCTAGTTCTCACAACAATCATATAAATTTTATTAGCTCTTGTCAACAAATGGTAAAACTGAATCTGGGAAAGGTTAAATTATTTACCCAAGGTCATGTTTCAAATTCAATGTTATATGAAGTCAATGCTCCTTTCACAGTACCACCCTTCTCTCAAGATCTGCAAGGTGCTTGATTTTCTCATTCATATCAACATACTCACTTAAGAGACATTAAATATTCGAAGATCCTAAGAAAGTATACTTTTGTTTTGACATTTTCTCTGTCAATTGTCATACATTTTATTTCAATATTAAAAAAAAGCTTCATGATTTTTTCTAAAAGTTCATCTAATAAAATAGTCTTTCAATAAAATTCCTACTGCATAACTTAATAGCAGAGAACAAAATATATTTAATTTCCTACCCTAATGGAGCTAATATTCTGATAGGAAATTCTCATATAATATTACGTAGTGCTCTGAAGAAAAATAAAGCAGAATAATGTTAGAGGTTCAAGAGATTGTGGTCCTGTTTGGATAGTGTACCTTATTTTTACACAAATAATGCCAATAGCGGTGTTTATGAAAATACTTCACGAGGGGGAGGGTCCAGTTGGCAAACAAATGTAGGAGATATGTGTTATTTGCATAAAAATACGGTAATCAGAGAAAGGCTGTCTAAATAGGTGACATTAATTTTAAAGTAGCTAAAAGGCATTTAGGCATAATTCTAAATTTTTGCTCAGGTGTAACGAGCTACTATTTTTATAAGGGTTAAGAGCATACAAACTACTTTTGCAGCAGTGAACATGTTGCTGTATGATTGGTATTTTTTGAATAAATGTTGATAATATCCCTGATAGGATATTTCATGTGACACCAAAAGGTTACATTTATTAAAATAACCTAATCCAATTGAAGTTATAGCTGTATGAAAATAAATATATACGTAAATCAAAATTCATTACTCTGTAAGATCTTCTATCTTTTTTTCCACCAGAGTAGGGGGCACATTAGAAACAATGACTTGCATATCTAGCTGGTTGACCACAGAGACCTGAAAAAAAGGAAAATAGAATTAATTTAGATTTTACTCGCTAACATTTCTGTAATTAAAAAAATAGCATTATTATTTGTTTCCTACTATGCCCAGACACAGTGGTTCCTCTTTTTTAATAAGAGAACAAATACTTTTTTCAGTTATCCAATCTGTATTAGATGTTAGAGGCTCATTGTAGCCAATTGAGAATGATACTTTGTTGTCTACCTAGAAGTTACAGAACCTTAAGTGATTTCCACTGTTGTTGGTTTCCTGTTTGTTTGTTTTTGTTTATTGCCTTGGTTATTCACTAAGATACCAAAGATGACATGTGTATGTGCTTTAAATTTGGTTATTAAAGAACACCGACAAAATGGAAAATACATCCCTACAATTTTACATAGCCAGAGAAATAACTTATTCATTGTGACTAAGAAACTAGGATATGACTGCTTAGAATAATTCATTCTATGGGATTATTATATTTATTCCACTTTAGCCAATTTTATATTTGTGTACATACAGAGATAGATACAAACACACAAACTTACATGTGGGGTTAAAATAAATTAATTCAACAGCTCTTTATGCATCTATTTAACATTTACTGAACTATGTTCTTATATAGAAAAATGGAAGAAAAGAATAACATTTATCTTGTGTTTACAATGTACCACTCACTTTTTTTTCAATATACTATACATTTTAACTCATTTAATTCTTATAATAATTAATTCTTGTATCAGGTTATTATTATTATTACTCCATTTTTAAATAAGGAAACTAATATATCGCAGAGAGCTTTAGTAATTTGGTACAGATTAAATGCCGAATATCTGACTACAGACCGTGTGTTCTTTACTACTACCTAATACTGATATAAAAGATGTAAAGTCAAACCATATATGGTCCTGCAAATACATTTAAAAAAAAGTTGCCATCAAGTTGATTCTGACTCATGGTGACTCCCTGTGTGTCAGAGTAGAACTGTGCTCCACAGGGTTTTCAATGGCTCATTTTTTGGTAGTAGATCACCAGATCTGTTTTCTGAGGCTACACACTGTTAAAATAGTGCATTTGCATATGCACCAAGATGATAAATTGAATACTGTGGATTAGGTATATTCAGCACCATATATTTGAAGATAATTTACTGTGGAGGATAATTTCATTTTGCCATATATCTTTTATATAGGTCCAAATTCTCTATGTATAATTACACCTAGATGCTCTATCAGGTTTCATCTGAATAAACAAGATGCAGGAAAGGGCAGAGACACAGGATGGAAGGAGCATGACTTCCTGCATCTCTGTGTGCAATAGAGCCGTCAAGAACACCAATGAACCATGTAGCTGTCATTCTTGTATGTGATAGGGAAACTTTGCTGGGTATGCCACTGATATTTTCTAGTTGTTACAGAGTCAGCCTACCATGCCAAAAAACACCCAAGGATATTTTTTCAACACATCTAACACATGTGTGTTAGATTCTTACTAGATTAAGACAATGCTAAACTATAATGTTACTTATATGTGGGTACATGGAAGGGGTAAAATTTATCTTTGCATAAACATGTTCCAAGTTTCAGTAGCTAATTTACAAGTAAACTTTTGGAATGCAATCAACTCACATGCTATAGACTATTTGGAAGCAAAATTTGGCCTTGCAGATATAAGTAACTGCATCATTTGTCTTTTAAGGAAGGTTAATGTTTTCTCTCCATTTAGAAGGATAAATTACTTAAAGGGAATTTTTAATTTGTTAATTAGCTTTTGGACAAATCCATAGTGGAGCATCAGAAAATAAATTAAGATTTAAAGTACAGTGGAATATACATATATACATACACATATATATGTGTATGTATGTATACACATATATATGTGTATGTATGTATGTATACATATATATGTATGTATATATATAAATTTATCAAAAAGGTGCTCTGATCTTAATAACTTTTGGAAAAATGGTATGCTTATGATATAAAAATAATACATACATTATAATTCCGATAAAGCAACAAAAGTCTGACTGCATTTAACTCCAAAAGTAGTTGTCATCTCAGATTTACCTCTAAATTGATATTTTTAAAAATTAGAACCTCCTTAAAGTGCTAATATCTGATTTATGCTCAACATACACATCTTTGCACATGAAAATAAAGAGAATAAGAAATTACAGTTCATATTTTCAGCTTGCTAAGAAATTCTAAGTCTTGATTCTTTGGTTTCTTCTATCATCTAAAGCCACCACTCTCTGTCAGTTTGTCAAACTGTGGTGGCTTACATGTTGCTATCATGCTGGAAACTATCCCACCAGTATTTTGAATACGAGCAGGCTCACCCATGATGGACAGGATTCAGTAGAGCTTCCAGACTAAGACAGACTGGGAAGAAGGACCTGGCAGCCTCCTTCTGAAAAAATTGGGCAGTGAAAACCTTATGGATAGCATCAGAACACTGTCTGATATGGTGCCAGAAGATGAGCCCCTCAGGTTGGAAGGTGCTCAAAATACAATTGGGGAAGAGTTGCCTCCTCAGAGTGAAGTCAAACTTAATGATGTGGATGGAGTAAATCTTTCAGGTCCTTCATTTGCTGATGTGGCGTGACTGAAAATGGGAAGAAATAGCTACAAACATCCATTAATAATCTGAACATGGAATGTACAAAACATGAATCAAGGAAAATTGGAAGTTGTCAAAAATTAAATGGAACACTTGAAGATTGATATTCTAGGCATTAGTGAGCTGAAATGTACTGGTATTAGCCATATTGAATTGGACAATCAAATGGTCTACTATGCTGGAAATGAAAAATTGAAGAGGAACGGCATCACATTCATCATCAAAAAGAACATTTCAAGATCTATCCTGAAGTACAAAGCTGTCAGTGATAGGCTAATATCCATACACCTACAAGAAAGACTAGTTAATATGATCATTATTCAAATTTACCCACCAATCACTAATGCAAAAGATGAAGTTGAAAATTTTTACCAGTTCTACATTCTGAAATTGATTGAACATGATAATTACTGGCGATTGGAATGCGAAATTTGGAAACAAAGAAGATGGATCAGTAGTTGAAAATATGGTCTGGTGATAGAAATGATGCCAGAGATCAAATGGTAGAATTTTGCAAGACCAACGACTTATTCATTGCAAATACCCTTTTTCAACAACATGAACAGTGACTATACACATGGACCTCACCAAAGGAATACATGGGAATTAAATTAACTACATCTGTGGAAAGACAGGATAGAGAAACTCAACATCATCAGTCAGAACAAGGCCAGAGGCTGTCTTTGGAACAGACCATCAATTGCTCCTATGCAAGTTCAAGTAGAAGGTGAACAATATTAAGACAAGTTCACAAGGGCCAAAGTACGACATTGAGTTTATCTCACCTGAATTTAGACACCATCTCAAGAAAAGATTTGACACACTGAACAATAATGACCAAAACGCAGAATAGTTGTGGGATGACATCAAGGATATCACACATGAAGAAAGCAAAAGGTCATAAAAAAGAAAAAAAAGAAAAAATGGATGTCAGAAGAGACTCACTCTGAAACTTACTCTCGAACGTACAGTAGCTAAAGCAAAAGGAAAAACTGATGAAGCAAAAGAGCTGAGCTGAAGATTTCAAAAGGTGGATAGAGAAGGCAAAATAAAGTATTATAATGAAATTGTGCAAAGACCTGGAGTTAGAAAATCAACAGGGAAGAACACACTCATCATTTCTCAAGCTGAAAAAACTGAAGACAAAAATCAAGCCTTGAGCTGCAATACTGAAAGAGTCTATGGGCAAAAAATTGACAAGCAAGAAAGTTGTTTTCTAAATTAAAAATTTCTGCTCACTCTCACTGAAAAATTTTCAATGGTTTCCCACTGCTTTCAGACAAGAGTTCCAACATTTTTAAGGCCTACATATAATTTATAGGGTTTCTTACTTCCATCTTTAGTCCCATCTGTCATTCACTTTCCCTCTCTCATTCTTGTAGGCTGAGAAAATATCTTTCAAACCTACCATTATCTCTCTTCCTTGTTGGTTTTGGCACATCTTGTTCTCTTGCCATAGAAATCTTAGCCTCCATCCCTTAACACCCTTCTCTTAACCTCTTGACTAAAAAGATTTCAGATTTTATCATAAATATCATTTTTTTGAGGAAAGGTTTTCCTGATTCTATTAGCTTGTGCCAGAAAAAAAAAAGATTTTGTGTGTGTGTACACACAAACACAGATCATAGATATATATGATATGCATGGATATATAATAGGATATGTATATATATGGGTATATGCATACATAAGGAGCCCTAGTGGTACAAATGGTTAAGTGCTCACCTGCTAACTGAAAGGACATTGGTAAGAAAGCACCAGGGAATCCTCAGGAGAAAAGACCTGGCTGTCTGCTTCCATAGATTACAACCTAGAAAATCTATATCATATTATGATTCCTTTGAATTGAAATTTTTTCTTTGTAAGTACAGTTTTTATCATTTTAAAAGTATACTTTTTAGTTTACACACAGTACTTTATGAAGTCCAAATAAGGAACCCACAAACTTTTCCTTGTTTATGTGCATATTAAATATATAATCTATATAGTTATATTTTCTTTGTGCTGATTTTTATAATATTTTAATTACACTTAGTGGAGTGACCTTGGACACTGAGCTTAATCACCACAATGTGCATATATTAAATAATAAGAAGGGAAATGACAACTTGATCTTACATATGGTTTGCAGATCTTAATTTGACCAAACATCTATGTCAACCTCAATGTCTTATATGTCAAAAGATTCTTGACTTAGAAGTCAATAATGATTGACCTTTGTTGATTGCACTGTTACTAAATAAGAATGTTGCTAGAGGACTGTTCGGCCTTCATATCTACCACAGTCATGGTGATGGGTCTTCACCATTATCACAGGAGAAAAATATTTGATCGCTGATGTTTGAATGTATACGAAGTTTAAACAGGTCTGCAAAACTAAACAACGAGAACTGTGAAAGATGAAAATTTAATAAGACATAGTGAGTAAAAGACAGATTAAACTTGACTCTCTCTTTACGTGGCAAATATTTCCAATAATAATTCTGCTCATATTTTTTACTTGATTCATCAGAGCAAATCCAAATAACCCACACCTCCAAGATGGTAGAGATTCCACAGGGTAAATATATTGGTGTTTAATATTTTGAGTTAAATATTAATGATCTACCATTGAGTCTGTGTACAAACAGCTTAAGAAAGAAAGGCAGAATATAAAAGTGATATTATTAACTGTGGCCAAACGTAAGTAAGTCCAGAATCACCAATGTCACTGATATAAATTTTTGGAAAATCATATCTACTGTAACATAATTTGCCCAAAAACATTTTGTTGTTTTTCCAAATACAAAGGTTCTAAAAGTAAATTCAACAACAATAAACATTTCATATATTTTAATTTCATGTAGTACAACTCTGAGAAACATTTTAAAAGTAGCTCCAGACAACTCTATGTTAAAAATGTGATTTGAAGACTAAATAGAAATCTAACACTTATTGTTTTTATAATCATACATCAAAAATGTTATGATATATTTCCCAAATGTCAAAAACCAAAATATCAAAAAGTTACATTTTTCCTATAATAAACCATAGTTAGTAATACCTGGATTAAAATCAATCACATTTATGTTTTAAAAAAATCTGTTTAAAACAAATTTAAAATTTTCTATGAGTTGAAAACATTGATCCCTAGCTAATAGCGTACTCCACATATCCTTCTTATCTGAAGTTTTATCTACTTACAAGTACGTCTGCTTTGCTGCTTAGTCCCTTCCCATAGTCGTCAGTTGCGATGACTTGAAACTTGAAGTACGATCTCCTCATATTATGGAAGAGCATAGCAGTTTTGATAAGCCCGGTATATGTTTCCACCACAAATCCTTCTTTTCCCTCTTTAATTGGTGGTATTATGAGTCTGTAGGCCATGGCACTATAATTGCCGGTATCTACATCAGTAGCCTAGGAGAAAAAAATACAGAATATAAAAAAGAAGGAAAAAGAATAACGTTTATTAAAGGAATTATTTTACTTTGTAAGACTGATGTTTCTTGTGCAATAGTAGCACAACACTGTTTTCATAAAAGTCCATTTTTCTAGGTATCGTTACGTAGATTTACGTTATATCCATAGAATTGAATGGTTGTTATTAGACTGACAATGGCCACTGAATTCCGATGCAAAGGACATCAACAATAACAGAGGAAACGAATCTTTTTTTTGATTGGCATTTATGATTGGTTTGACTCTGCTGTGATCTAAATTGGTTTAAAGATGGGATTTGTTGTTTGCTTAGCCATAGTCTTGGTGTAATAGACATAGTACGTGATTTTGTTCTTGATCCAACATATTTCCTAAATGAAAAAATAATAAAATAATGCACTAAACTATCTCAAATTATAATACAATAAGTCAAAATGCAGAGTTATAAATAAATAAATTTACAAATAAAAGATTAATTTCTTAATGCTGCATTGTAATTGGATAAATAAGAATACTTATCTAACTTCCTTTTTTCATCATCCTGACAAACCAGATTTGTTCTTGTTGACTAGTACGTAAACTCCCCATGTTAAATTTTCTTACCCTTTAGAATTAAACAGAGGTAACTAGTTGCCTAGAGTATCTTTTGCTTTTTTTTTTTTTCTTTAAATGAATCTGTTAATGTAATATATTAGGCTAACTCTATGTCTTCTACTTGACGGAAAGTTCCCAGTGCCATTTTGAGAATTATTTCATAGTAAACTATTTGGAACAGAAATGAATGGTAGAAGATTATTAGTGAAATTATGCAAGGCTATGTGCTCTTTAAGGAGCCCTGGTGGTGCAGCAATGAAAGCATTTGGCTGCAACCAAAAAGTTGGCAGTGCAAATCCACCAGCCACTCAGTGAGAGAAAGACGTTACAGTCCACTTCCGTAAAGATTATAGCCTTGGAAATCCCTGGGGCAGTTCTACTCTGTCCTATAGGGTCTCTATGCGTCAGAATCGACTCGATGACAGTGTGTTTGGTTTTGGGTTTGATATGTTCCTTATTCATTAGACTGGATAGGTAAATTATGTATTTTCATTATGGGAGAATCTGGTTATTTTTATTTTGACCAATGCTATTATTATTACTAAATTTCTTATTTCAAGCACTTATGATTTGCCACTACAATGCTAACACTTCTCTAAAAACAATAATTTATAAGAAGAAAAAATTTCTCTGAGGAATATATTGTTCTAATTATATAGATCAATGCCATCCATAGACCTTTCTGCAATGATGGAAATGCTCTATATACACTCTGTCTAATACAGTAACCACTAACCACATGTTCTATACAATACTTGAAATGAGGTTAATATGGCTGAGTAACAGAAATTTTAATTTGACTTAATTTTAATTAAATTTAAATAATCAAAGGTTACATAGTAAGTCAGGAGAGCAATAAAAACAATAGTAGGAAATGGTAGTAAATTTTGTTTTAAGGTGCAGCATGAGCTTTAATCTCCAACTCCAAAGGCTATACATGTTCTTAACCATTCTTTTTACAACATTTCAGGATAACCCCGTCCAGTAGTTAGACAAGGTGACTTAAACTAAACAACTCAAAATTTTCAACTCAGGATAATGTATTTCTTGAATTTTCTAAGCAGTTAAAATTCTCAGCTCTAGAAAAGGACAAGTACCAACCACCAGCTCCTATCTTTAGATGTTCTGCATGGTTTCTATCATAGCAGAACTCAGATTTGGCATTAGAGGAATGGTAATTAGATTTTAACATCTGGTTACAATCTACTTAAAGGGAAAGAAAACAAAGCAAAACACCTAGTTATCAAGGTTTTTTTTTTCAGCTTTGAACCCTAGATTTTATTTATTTAACAAAGCATAGCATAAGAAATAGAAAGCGTATTTATTTCCATTTAAAATTAAAATCAGAGTTTGACTCAAGTAATCAAAGACATTTCTTCTACATACTACAAGCAAATTTAGGACTAAGGCCAAACTAGTCAAGGATTTGTTTGAGTATTATCCTTTAACTTCTGATTAACATGTGCATTTTCCCTGAAAAAAACTTTTTGCTGTTAATGTAAACTTTATTAAGGTAGAAAAGGTATAGAAAAGGTGCACAAATCAAAAGTATACAGCTTGATAAAATTTTGCAAAATATACATATCCATGTAACTCAGCACCCACATCAAGAAACAAGACACCCCAGAATGTCCCTCATGCTGTCTTCCAGTCATACTCACCTCCCTCAGGGTAACCACTACCCTGATTTCTAACACACTGTATTAGTCATGTCTGCATTTAAACATTATGATGATAAAATCACAAAATATGTTCTGTTTTCTTCTGACTTATTTTACTCAATGATGTGTTCTGAGATTCTAAACTTTTATCTTTTAAACAAATCCCACATAATAAACACAATTACATTTAGAAAAGACAAGAAGGTTACAACCAAATCATAGTAGATTTCTTGGTACATTAATCTTTGTTAGGATTATTAGCACTCATTCAATCTCCACCAACCTCTCTCAAGTATGTAGAGTTGAATACTAGTAAGTTAAATGGTGAAAGATTAAAAAACAAACAAACAAACAAAAAAACCAGTGAGTGCTATTCTCTATGGGTGATTTAAGGAATTTTCAAGTTTAATTTTGAATCTACTCAATTTTTATTAAACACATGACTCACAACATAAACCTATGAATAAGAGGTGAATGAATTGTGTGGGATATATGGACATGTACATATCTATATTACAATAATACAAATTAGCAACCGTTATTTATCAGACATAAATTAGAAGATATTACATATATATACAGAATAACGCCAAAAATATTGATAACAAAATGGTAGAACACAATTTTAAACCTAGGTCAATCTGTGAAAAGTGAGTTTCAGCATTAGCAGAGTATATTGTATCTTTTTGCTTCCTACTTCTAATAATTTAAAATTTGTTTGGTTATTTGTTTTTTATATTGTGTTTGGGAGACAGACTCCAAAGTCAGGTGGGACTTCAAAAAAAAATTAATAACTCAGAGCTTCAGGTATTCTTATTTATAAAACGAGAAGAATAATATCCAACAAATGTTACTTACATATATAATATCTATATAATATGAAGCCCTGGTGGCACAGTGGTCAAGAGCTATGGCTGCTAACCAAAAGGTCAGCAGTTTGAATCCATCAGCGAAACCCTATGGGGCAGTTCTACTCTGCCCTATAGGGTCACTATGAACTATAATTGACAGCAGTAGGTTTTTTTTTTTTTTTTAAATAAAACATATATATTGCCAAGTGCAGTGTGGTAACTATTTTATTATCTGAATTTATTATCACAATATTCAAGTTCTTTTTCACAGTTGTTTCATTCAAATGACATATCAATGAATATGCAAATTTAAACACACAATCAATTTTAACTGTTCATATATACTGCCATAAGATTATAATTCTCTTAACAAAATAATGCATTTATCAATCTTTTTCTCATAGAACTCAAGACATATGCACTTTTTAAACTCATAACCTTGTTTGTTTTTTCTTTCCCCAGTTCTTCTTTACTGCTTCCAGATCACTTTTGTCCATCCTTGCAAAGCCTTTTTCTCAAGTGAAATCCACCCACTTATACACAGTATACTCTCCACCATTCCTTGTTGCTGAACATAGTGAGGATGTTGATATCTAGCTCCCAGTCCACCTCTTCTGCTTTAAATTTCCCCTACTCTATGAATTTCAGTGTTCACGATGATGGGTCATCCATCAACCTATCTTCAAATTCCTAGCAAAAATAACTGTACTCAGTCTTTGAACTGCCTCACCGCAAAATTTAATTCCACAGCCACTCTTTGTCTTTTGCTTTATGGAGATATTCCTCCAAAGGAAACACTCCATTTCTGGAAGCTTCAACTTTAATTTATAAATTTCTGAACACAATCTCCAATATAATTTTTTTATTCCATTAAGACGCTTTCTTTAGTATTGATGAATTTTAAATTTCACAAATTTTCTCTTTGCTTCTAATCCTTTAGGGCTTATCTCTCTTCCTTCTCCATCATAGAGCCACAGTTGGTCACATTGTCCTCATTTCTTTGTCCTTCAACAACATTTGGTCTTCTTTTCTGTTAGATCAGTCTAACCATTAACTTACTCCTTGGTGACAGAAGAACGCAGAGAATAATTAAATAATCAGACAGATTAGTGTTACCACACAACCACGGTCTCTGAGTTCAACTATGCTTTTGTCCATTTAAAAAATCCTTGCTATATGTAGTGAATTCCCATCTCACTCCAAATGTTCACTCTTTCCCTCAAATCGCTTATTCTTTTAGTTTCCTTAAGAGATAAAGACATTGTAATTCACACAAAAATTGAGGATGCAAAGTATGAGTGCTCTTAATTTCCCATCCTATAACTAAAAAAATTATCTATATCTCCACTTACTCTTACATCTTTCTTCAAATCTAGGTGGTAAAGCAGACTCTTCTCCCTTGATCTCAATCTCTGCTATCCCTTCTGTGTTTATTGCTTCAACAACTCTATATATTTCCATCTTCTTAACCTTTTCCTTTACAGATATAAAACACCTCATTTGTCTCTCATTAAAATAAAGCAAAACTTTCTTTTACTCTATACCCACTTCAAGGTCCCTGGGTGGCACAGTTTGTGCTAGACTATTAATCTAAAGGTGGGCAGTTCGAACCTGCCCAAGAGCACCATGGAAGAAAGGCCTGATGATCTGCTTCCATAAAGATTACATCCAAGAAAAACTATGGAGCAGTTCTCTATAACACATAGAGTTGCCATGACTTGGGACTGACTTGGTGGTGACAAGTGTTTTTTTAAATACCCACTTCTGATTTTATCTCCGTAACTTCCGTATGTATTTTTCACAGTTAAGTTCTTCAAAGGATGATTCTGCAATCACTGTCTCCAATTCCTTACCTCACAGCCATTCTTTCACT